AAATAATCTGTCATAGGGAACCCGAAAGGGGCGCTGTGGGGTGCTAACACCTTCCCCACGCGTAACCGACTCCCTTACCCGACTCTGGTTGTAATGGCCGAAGTCGATTTTTGAATCGATTGCCTTAAACTTCTTTTTCCAATGTTTTGAGTAAAACATTGGTGGCGACTCCATGAACCCTTCCTTTTTATGAAAACCGCTAATCCATGGAGGGTCCCGCTTGGGATTAACATGGATTGGTGAGCCTTTTAATAAAATTGCTTGTTTGACGAGGTCTCAGTTTGAGAATAAGTCATTCTAGCAATCCATATTTTTAAACAAATAAAAGAGTCCAACCATCCTTCGCGAATGCCGAAAGCCCGTTTCGGGCCGGTGGCGACAGTCCCGTTACTCGACGATCCATCATTGGCTACTTTATTACACTTGGGCAATCTTCTGTCTCGTGGAAATCTAAAAAGCAACCTACCATCTCTCGTTCCTCCGCAAAAGCTAAGTATCGCTCTATGGCAGTCGCTACTTTAGAACTCTTATGGATCAAAGCTTTATTGCAAGATATTGGTGTTCCTCACTCCATGCCCATGAAATTATATTATGACAGTCAATCTGCTATTCATATTGCCTCCAATCTAGTTTTTCAGGAACGTACGAAACTCATTGAACTTGACTGTCATTTTGTTCGTGAACATGTGATGGCCAAAACTATTTCCACAGAGCACATTCAAACTTCTTCTCAACCTGCAGATCTCCTAACTAAAACTCTTGGAAAAAAGCAGTTTGAATTTCTATTGTCCAAGTTGGGCATCTCCTCCCTCCATGCTCCAACTTGAGGGGGAGTATTAGGATAAGATTGATTAATTATTTATGATAGGATAGTTTGTTATCCTGTTGCATTTCTGTTTTGTGTGATTTTCTGTTTCTATCTTATCTTGTGCATATTTTTTTTATTTGGAATATCTATATAATGACTAGCACATGAATGAGATTCACAAGTTGCTCTTTCACAACAACTTCCTTTAACCTTGTTTCGTTAAAAAATGTAAAACATTGTTGGAGTGGATTTTATGCCTAATGTCTCTCAAACAAACTGAAATTGCTACAAGAGAACCCACCTATTGAGATGAAACTGTGTCAAGGCCATGTTGAGAAATGACAACACCCTAATAGTGAATAGGTCAAAAGGTAGTCATATGTTCAATGGCTTGAAAAAACAATCATATATAAAGAAGTAGGCCTCGTCATCGTATATATTGTATCTTTTAAAGTTTAGGAAAAATAATAATTAATTAATATTAATATTTAACATTTTTCATATATATATATATATATATATATATATTATTTCTCGCACATTTCTTTCTAACTTATTAAACATATATAATATAATTTCTCACCTATTTCTTTTCAACCAAACAATCAAATTTTTACTTTATTCCTTATCTATTTTCACTCTTCTATTTCTTTCTTTTCTCCATTTCTTTCCTCTCTATCAAACACACCCTACAATAGAATATATTTGAGACAATTAATAAATATTTAAGATTTTCTTTGTTGTACGTGATAGAAATTAGGATAATGATGATAATTTTGATTTTTTTTGTAATTTAAGTGAAACTTGATGTTTCAATAGATAACCATGGAGTAAAAAATATTAATTAAATATATTTAATTTTTTTGAATATTTTATATATAAATATGAAGATGAAGATTTTAAATAGAAGAAAATGGATAAATAAAAAAAATTAATTTAATTTTAAATTAGAAAGACATAATTAACTTTTAAACATGAGAAACTATTTTAAAATAAATTGTGTGCTCAAAATATTCAAAATTTCTATAAAAAAATATAAAATCCTCACAAAATTTGAAAAAGAAGAAAGTCATACAAAAATTATTAAATAGTAAATCTCAAGTAAAATTTAGTCATGAATACCATTTAAAGTTATATATAAATTATATTTTCTATGTTAATAATAATGAAAATTATGTCATTATTAATAAATAATATAATTAAATCTATATTGTATTTTAAAAAAATTAAATTCATGTTTACATATTATGAAAGTTGTTCAATTATCTATATCTATACCTATTATAAAAAGAATAGATTTTAGTAAATTTTTTTTGTTTCAATTTTTATATTTGACACCATTATCCTTAGATTTAACAAAAATTCTTTTTCTAAAAATAAATTCCCAGTTTATATTGGACACCATTATCTTTGGATTTGACAAAAATTTTTCTTTCAAAATTTTAAAAAAATAAATATATAAAGATATGAACTTTTTTTCTACTAATTGTATGAGTGACCTACATTCTTGCATAGAGAACATTTTTTTGATTGTCCTGGTTCAACCATATCCATTTCAGTGCGTATTCTGAATGACTTTGTACAACCTTTTTTTTATTTATAATCTTTTCTGAATTTAGTATGATTTATGGTTCTTCAGAATCTGACCAATAAGATTCATTGGCCAGTTCCACCAAATAATTCGTTATGCACATTTGAAACATATTGTAATGTGTATACTTGATCTATGTAAGATTTGTAATTGTGGTGAACATGCTTACATGCAGCAACAACATGGGAGCGTGGCATGTGTAACTTCTGGAATTTTCCACAGTCACACTACTTGTCATGTAGTCTAATCGTGAAATTTCCAGTCGGTCATGTTTCCCTTGGATTAATGGTCTCTTGCACCAGAAAATATGTATTATGACGATCAAATTCGAGGATATGATGACTATTAACCTTTGATTCTGCATCACTCATGACCCTATTGATTATTTTAGTATAAAGTTGGTCAACCTTAAGTTTAGCATCGACTTCCTTCCCTCTTTGGATGAATAAGGCATTACATCTCTTATAAGTCGACATGATAATTGCAAACATTGGCAAATTTCTTATTTTTTTGTTGGTTTAAGTTTGTTTTGACTTTTTATAATTATAAATATGTTATTATGAATTTAAGGTTAAATTAAGTATTCTTTATGTTATGATGGCCTTTTACCCTCTTATTTATACTATTTTAGATGCATATATATAAGAACTTATATCCATATATTTGGATTTTATAATTTTAGTAGAATCTTACATTTTGTGTTCCGATTTCATGATTTATGATTTTGTCACCTAGTTTCGAGTCGAACTAAAATCCCCATTTTGACTACCTTGATTATATGTATAAGTATTATGAATGTTGATTTTCATCTGATCTAACTAAACAAATTCGCAAAATTAAATTTGAAGTAAAAAATACTAGTTAAGAGATAACATAAAAGGGTCAAAAGGATAAAATGATGATCACTTGTTCAAAGCCCAATACAAGATTTCCTTAACCGAAATATCTATGGTAATTAGAAAGTTGGACTTGGGTCAAACCAAAGATAAAATTATTGTTTTGTGTCACCCTGTACTTATGAGTAAACATTAGTATGAACTAAGTATGAAGAGAGTCTTCAATGACTAGACATAGCAGCAACTTTCGTGTCAAAAGAAGACCAGGTATACAAGTAGTGTCGCCTACCTTCATGTAAGTATATGGAGGCCTGCATAGTATCACTATCTGCCCACAAGTATATAAAATAAGGAAGTAAAATCATGCAATTAGATAAGATATTTAATAAGTATACATGTACTCATAATTCATGTGTATATTTGATCATGTGTATATTGATTCTATGTGTAAGGTCAAAATACTCTGCCTAATCAAATCACTCCTTTGATAATGCACAAAAAGTTATATTTGAGGGACAAATAAGAAACAAATATACCAGTATGCCTTTTGACAATAAGAAAGTGAACCTAGATGACTTAACTGAAGCTTCTTGAGATTGTCTTTACATGCGTCAAAACTGTGCCCATGTTTGAAATTCCAAAGCTGAAATCTAATTCAAGTGCAAAAGGTAAGTCAATAACTATCTTAAAATTACCTTCAAATGCAAAAGTGAAACTACCCCTAAAATCTTAAAATTCACCAATCTCCCGAGACCCTCCACCTCCATATAACAATAAACAAAAAAAAAAAATGTAAAAATTGCAAACTACATACTTCTCTCCTGCAACTTGTGACAGAACGAGTAAGCATCATAAAATAGCAAAGTTTAATTTCAGTAGTTTAAAAACCTAATAAGTAGTTGGAGTCAATCAAAATAACTCAGTTATTAATGCGTAATAATCATAACGATAAACTTGCGTATGCAACTTGAATCAGACTCACATAATCAAAGAGTGTTTGTGAGATAGCACCGAACCATAGGAAATTAGGAAAATCCTTAACAAATCGCAATAAACCATATGTTTTCTGCAACATAAATAAAAATAAAAAATGAAAGATAATTTTTTTACCGACAGCCAAAATCTCAAAGGTGTTATATTTAAAGATTATTTATACAATGGTGTATCTAGTGGGGAGTTAATTTTCATAAGCCATATGTGAATGGTTAAAATTATTTACTTAAATCTAATATTGATGCTTTAATTTATTATTTTCAAAAAAGGGGATAAACAAATTGCACTTGAGAAAAGGGCAACAAACGGCTGTAGGGTTGGCATCTAGGCCGTCATCAATGATTTTTTTTTTTTTGTAATTTTATTTATCATTAATTTTAGAGGCCTAGCAGCACGCAGGTATGGCACTAGGTATGCAACAAATACTTGACGACCCTTGCAATGCTAGTGATATTAAAGATGGGAACTATGCACTTGCAGAGCAAGCATATGAGACACACATCTTTTGTCAGTTTTTCTTTTGTCAAGGTTGATATTTAGTCCTTCATTAACTAGAAATACGAATTTAAATTTTTTTTTATCGGTATCCACATTAGAAGCTGGTTTTGTGAGTTGACTTATGCTCTAAAATCCAAATTCTGAGACCACTACAAGTTAATGTTTTGATGATAAACATGAACCATTCATGTTGCTATACCATTGCCACTATCAAAGTTCAGGTAGAGGGTAGTAAATCATTTTATCATAAAAAACAATGCAACTTTATTTTATCTTCTAACTTATCACAAAGAACTCTATTAAGTTTTTGGAAATCATGCTGCAAGAATGAATCATCTGTATCCCATCCAAAAGACTTGGTTAACTCTTTAGTACATACATTAATGTCGCTATGCTGCAGCTAGTAGAATAAACTCTACAATGTCAAAGGAATGCTCCCTGATGGCATGTCATTCTCAATCATAGGGATATGGTACACAGGCCTATAACAATAGTTCATGTTAGGGTGATTCCTTTCATAAAAGCTTGAATATTAAAAATTGGCCAATTTTTCTAAAATAAGGAATGTGATACAGTGTTTGAATGAGAGAATTCATGTAACAAGTAGCTCCTTTGAGTTATGTACAACAACATCAGCCTTAATTATACATCTATCATTCACCAGAAAACTTCTAGCATGATCATATAAGTGAACAAGTGGAGACACGAAATTAGTGAAACCCCAATCACTCTCACAAGCATTGAACTGATTCTGCAATATAAAACATCAACTAATTATCATATTATTAAAGCAACTAAGTTTTCTAGAATTTAGGGACAAAGACATCATTTTAGGGTTCATATGTGTTACATTTTCCCATAATGGAAAAACATCTCATATTATTAAAGCAACCATGATTTTTTAACATCAGGATTAGGAATAAACTTAAAAGGCTTACTAGTGATACTCATCAACACCTATGTTTATCATATGTCGATCAAACTACTCATCAAATAAAAGAAACTTAAGTTTTTTTTAAGTCATAGACGAGGCAACATTTTAGAGTTCACATACCCTACATTTTCTCATGTTGCATAAATTATTGATATAATTAAAGCAACTACTTTTTTCGACATCAGGATTAAGAATAACCTTAAAAGATTTATGCTCTCATGTTCATCATATTTCGATCAAACTACTATTCAAATAAGAACAACCAAGTTTTTCCAAATTCAGGAATAGTGACTACATTTTAGGGTTCATATACCCAACAATTTTTCATGATCTATAGAAATATCATACCAATAAGACAACCACATTTTTTTGACATCAGGATCGAAAATAACCTTAAAAGGTTTATACTCCCATATTCATCAATTGTAGATAAAACTATCATCAAATAAGAGCAACGAAGTTTTCTCGAATTTAGGGACAAAGACATCATTTTAGGGTTCATATGTGTTACATTTTCCCATAATGGTAAAACTTCTCATATTAATAAAGCAACCACGTTTTTTCAACATCAAGATTAGGAATAACCTTAAAAGGCTTATACACCTATATTCATCATATGTTGATCAAACTACTCATCAAATAAAAGAAACCAAGCTTTTTTTTTAAGTCAAAGATGGGGACAACATTTTAGAGTTTACATACTCTACATTTTCTCAAGTTGCATAATTTATTTATATCAATAAAGCAACTACTTTTTTCAACATCAGGATTAAGGATAACCTTAAAAGATTTATGCTCTCATGTTCATCATACGTCGATCAAACTACTCATCAAATAAGAACAACCAAGTTTTTCCAAAGTCAAGAATAGAGACTATATTTTAGGGTTCATATACCCTACAATTTTTCATGATCAATAGAAAAATCACATAAATAAAACAATGACATTTTTTTGCCATCAGGATCGGAAACAACCTTAAAAGGTTTAGACTACCATATTCATCATTTGTCGATCAAACTACTCATCAAATAAAAGCAACTAAGTTTTCTCGAATTTAGGGACAAAGGCATCATTTTAGGGTTCATATGTGTTACATTTTCCCACAATGGAAAAACTTCTCATTAATAAAGCAACCACGTTTTTTCAACATCAGGGTTAGGAATAACCTTAAAAGGCTTATACACCTATGTTCATCATATGTCGATCAAACTACTCATCAAATAAAAGAAACCTAAGTTTTTTTTTAAGTCATACAAAGGGACATCATTTTAGTGTTCACATACCTTACATTTTCTCATGTTGCATAAATTATTGATATAATTAAAGCAACTACTTTTTTCGACATCAGCATTAAGAATAATCTTAAAAGATTTATACTCTCATGTTCATCATATGTCAATCAAACTACTCATCAAATAAGAACAACCAAGTTTTTCCAAATTCATGAATAGAGACTACATTTTAGGGTTCATATACCCAACAATTTTTCATGACCAATAGAAATATCATACCAATAAGACAACCACATTTTTTTGACATCAAGATCGAAAACAACCTTAAAAGGTTTAGACTACCATATTCATCATTTGTCGACCAAACTAATCGTCAAATAAAAGTAACTAAGCTTTCTCGAATTTAGGAACAAAGGCATCATTTTAGGGTTCATATGTGTTACATTTTCCCAAAATGGATAAACTTCTCATATTGGATAAGATATTCAAGACCCAAAAGCAAAGCAAATGTATTCTTTTTATTGAATTCCAGAATTCAAATGTGAACCTGCATAAATAGAAAGGTATCACCACACCACTATAAATGTTAACAGACTTGAACACTAATCAAGCAAATTGAAAAACTATGAGCAAAAAACAGAGGAAGATGTGCTACTGATAGACTATGGCCAAGGCCAAGGAATCCAAGAAGTGATACATTGAAGGAACCAAGAGGAATGGGATGATGGACCATGGGCCAAGGGCCCAATCTCTAGAGCTATGGCCACCTTGAAGACCAGTGGACACCTTGAAGACCAGTGGGCTTTCCAAGCCCAAGGAACTCTTCAATTTGGACCACTCTATCATGAAGAGAAGACATAGTTCTAGTTGTAAATATCTTGTACATAGTTCTCTTGTATAGGCTTATTTTTGCCTTTGTATTTGTGAGACACTTTAGTTTCTTTTATTAGTCATTGTATATTGATTCTAGGGTGGGTTACTTGGAGAGTTTGACTCCATTTAACCTCTTTTGTTGATACACTCATTTTCTATTTTTTTAGTAGGAAAAGAGGGGTGGCATTTAGCAATGCTTGAGGGTGTGACTAGTAATTGGGCTAGAATTGGGCCTAGACAAAATTTTACATATTAGACTCATTTTGCTCCTAATTTTTCATATATTTGATTTAGCTAGGTTTCATCATCATTGGATGAACCTAACAAAACCAAATCAAACATTTTTGAAATTAATTCAAGGAGCCAAAAGAGACCAAATCCGCCCACCTTGCCTAGTCTCCTTTCTTTGACCGAATTGCTTTTCTAACCTTTAAGGAGATGAGAAGCTTGTGCTATAAGCTTCTCCTTAGCTTGCTTTCGAAGCAAGCTAAGTGAGAAGCTTGCTCCATAAGTTTCTAAACTCACCTAGAAGGTCAACTAACCTTACCATGCTTCCTAGTGAGCCATGGTTAAGGTTAGCTTCCTCCTTAAGCTACCTACCTCTATATATTTGTAATTTCTACTCTTGTAATCACTTTTGACATTTATGAGACTTAGAATTCATAAATTCTCTCTCATTTCAAGAGTCCAATTTTGTGGAGAATCTCCTTCTCCTAGAAGCTTCCTTTGTGTTTGGTGCCTCAAGTTTCTCTCCTTCAAGAGAAACTTAACCACTTTGGGGAAGCATCTTCAAGCTTTTGGAGCTTGAACTCATCCAAATCTTCCATTGGCGTGAAGAACCTCAAGAGAAGAAGGGACTTAGCATGGTTCAACTTGAAGAAATATCAATCTTCTCCAAGTAGTTCTATCAGCTACAAAAATGTGAACAAAAACTAATTGACATGGCAATTCAGTATATAGAAAGGTGGGCCCATTCTCAAACATGCCACATGCATGATACGGTACACATACACAAAGCATAAAAAATCCCAAAACTAGGACACATTATTTCACTTGATCCCATGACTTTTCATGAATATATAATTGCAACATACAATCACAGATAGACATAAAGATGAGAAAACAAACCTGCCTTATAAAATGAGGTCAGGAACGGTGCAAAATTTTGTATGATAGCCTAAACAAGGGGGAAATTTTGTCAAAGATGCTTCACAAGTAACTTAGTAGTATGTCAGGATTCGGTTTTGCCATAATACAGAGACTTACTTGTTCCTCACTTGAACCATATGAATATGCCTCAAGAATATTGGTAGTGTTCCCAAACTAAAGGACTGCCACCTGTGAACACAAAACAGACAGATACATGCACATATAAACACATACAAAACACAACATGCACACACAAGGACACAAAGGCAAACAAAGACACACAGCACAGAGTACAGACACAGAGCACACAAACACAGGCACACGTGCATGGACATAAACAAAGCTTATGATATAAGAAAAAGTAGGACAGAAAACATAGGAAGAAAACAAAACAGAAACTCCAGGATGAGTCTCATGCATAAACTCAAACAACTTATTCACAATAGCTATTAGAAACTTCCAATGAGCTCTTAAAAACCGAGAATACTGTCCCACAACATACTTGCCAACAGAAACAATGGCATATTATTCAACAGAGATAGACCCCAAATGACCATGACAAAAAATATGTATTCCTGCCACATAAACATGATGTGAATAATAATTGTTCCAAAAAAAATCACATCCAAAAGATAAACAAAGATACCTGTCGTGTTCTCAATTTTTTTTAAATTTTCCAAAAACAAAGGAGTCGGGTTCTTCGGGCCTATATCTTCTCTAGTGTGCCTTTTATTAAAACAAAATACAATTACCTATAAAATAAATTATTAACTGGATTTTAGTTATATTTTTACATGTATTAGCTATCTATACTATCATTTATCACACTTTGAAAACACAAGTTTCAGCAATCATAAATCATAATCATAACATAAGAAATAGACAACCATAAGACATGAATGTCAACATCATCATACCTTAAAATCATCGGTATCATCTATATATGGGACGTTAATAAGACATTCAAGACCCAAAAGCAAAGCAGATGTAATCTCTTTATTAGATTCCAGAATTCAAATGTGAACCTGCATAAACAAAAGGGTATCATCACACCAATAAAGATGTTAACAGACTTGAACACTAATCAAGCAAAATGAAAAACTATGAGCAAGAAACAGAGGAAGAGATGCTACACAGATGTGAAAAAAAAACTAATTGACATGACAATTCAGTATATAGCAAGGTGGGTCCATTCTCAAACATGCCACAGGCATGATTACATACACAAAGCAAAAAAAATCCCAAAACTATGTCATACTATTTCACCTGATCCCATGACATTTCATGAATATATACATGCAACATACAATCACAGATAGACATAAAGCCGAGAAAACAAACCTGCCTCGCAAAATGAGGTGAAGAACAATGCAAAATTCTGCATGATACCCTAAACAAGGGGAAAATTTTGTCAGAGATGTTTCACAAGTAACTTAGTAGTATGTACGGATTCAATTTTGCCATAATACAGAGATTTACTTGTTCCTCACTTGAACCATATGAATATGCCTCAAGAATATTGATAGAGTTCCTAAACTGAAGGGTTGCCACCTGTGAACACAAAAAAGACAGATACACGCACATAGAAACACATACAAAACACAACATGCACACACAAGGACTCAAAGGAAAACAAAGGCACACAACACAGAGCACAGACATGGAGCACACATAAATGAGCACGCAGAGCACACAAACATAGGCACACGTTTAGGGACATAAACTAAGCTGTTGATATAAGAAAAAGTAGGACATAAAACATAGGAAGAAAACATAACCTAAACTCCAGGATGAGTCTCATGCAAAAACTCAAGAAACTTATTCACAACAGCTTTTAGAAACGTCCAATAAGCTCTTCAAAACCGAAGATACTGTCCCACAACATACCTGCCAACAGAAGCAATGGCATATTATTAAACAGAGGTATAACATCTTTTAACATCGAGCAAATCAATACAAAAACATCCCTTACATGATATTACGTGCAATAACAACTTTGTTATCTTTTCCTGTTGTGATTACACAGAGATATAATACATCCCAAATGACCATTACAGAAAGTATGTATTCCTGCCACATAAACATGATGTGAGTAATAATTATTTAAAAAAAAATCACAACCAAAAGATAAACAAAAATACTTGTCGTGTTCTCAATTTTTTTTTTAATTTTCAAAAAACAAAGAAGTCGGGTTCTTCGAGTCTATATCTTCTCTAGTGTGCATTTTATTAAAACAAAATACAATTACCAGTAAAATAAATTTTTAACTGGATTTTAGTTAAAGATCATAACATAAGAAATTGACAACCATAAGACATGAATGTCAATATTATCATACCTTAAAATCCCCGGTATCATCTACATATGGGACGTTGATAAGACATTCAAGACCCAAAAGCAAAGCAGATGTAATCTCTTTACTAGATTCCAGAATTCAAATGTGAACCTGCATAAACAGAACGGTATCACCACACCAATTAAGATGTTAACAGTCTTGAACACTAATCAAGCAAACTGAAAAACTATGAGCAAAAAACAGAGGAAGAGGTGCTACACAGATGTGAAAAAAAAACTAATTGACATGACAATTCAGTATATAGAAAGGTGGGTCCATTCTCAAACATGCCACACGCATGATATGGTACACATACACAAAGCGTAAAAAATCCCAAAACTAGGTCACATTATTTCACCTGATCCCATGACATTTCATGAATATATACTTGCAACATACAATCACAGATAGACATAAAGCTGAGAAAACAAACCTGCCTTGCAAAATGAGGTGAAGAACAGTGCAAAATTCTGCATGATACCCTAAACAAGGGGAAAATTTTGTCAGAGATGCTTCACAAGTAACTTAGTAGTATGTACGGATTCAATTTTGCCATAATACAGAGACTTACTTGTTCCTCACTTGAACCATATGAATATGCCTCAAGAATATTGATAGAGTTCCTAAACTGAAGGGTTGCCACCTGTGAACACAAAAAAGACAGATACACGCACATAGAAACACATACAAAACACAACATGCACACACAAGGACTCAAAGGCAAACAAAGGCAAACAACACAGAGCATAGACACGGCGCACACAGAAATGAGCACGTAGAGCACACAAACACAGGCACACGCACAGGGACATAAACTAAGCTGTTGATATAAGAAAAAGTAGGACAGAAAACATAGGAAGAAAACATAACCTGAACTCCAGGATGAGTCTCATGCAAAAACTCAAGAAACTTATTCACAACAGCTTTTAGAAACGTCCAATGAGCTCTTAAAAATCGGAGATACTGTCCCACAACATACCTACCAACAGAAGCAATGGCATATTATTAAACAGAGGTATAACATCATTTAACATCGAGCAAATCAATACAAAAACATCCCTTACATGATATTACGTGCAATAACAACTTTGTTATCTTTTCCCGTTGTGATTACACAAAGATATAATACATCCCAAATGACCATTACAAAAAATATGTATTCCTGCCACATAAAATTACCTATAAAACTAATATTTAACTGGATTATAGTTCTATTTTTATATGTATTAGCTATGTATACTATCACTTATCACACTTTGAAAACACAAGTTTCAACAATCATAAATCATAATCATAACATAAGAAATAGACAACCATAAGACATGAATGTCAGTATCATCATACCTTAAAATCCTCAGTATCATCTACATATGGGACGTTGATAAGACATTCAAGACCCAAAAGCAAAGTAGATCTATTCTCTTTACTGGATCCCAGAATTCAAATGTGAACCTGCATAAACAGAAGGTTATCACCACACAAATAAAGATGTTAACAGACTTGAACACCAATCAAGCAAACTGAAAAACTATGAGCAAGAAACAGAGGAAGAGGTGCTACACAGATGTAAAAAAAAACTAATTGACATGACAATTCAGTATATAGCAAGTTGGGTCCATTCTCAAACATGCCACACGCATGATATGGTTCACATACACAAAGCATAAAAAATACCAAAACTAGGTCACCTTATTTCACCTGAACCCATGACATTTCATGAATATAAACTTGCAACATACAATCACAGATAGACATAAAGTTGAGAAAACAAACCTGCCTTGCAAAATGAGATGAAGAATAGTGCAAAATTTTGCATCATACCCTAAACAAGGGGGGAAATTTGTCAGAGATGCTTCACAAGTAACTTAATAGTATGTCCGGATTCAATTTTGCCATAATACAGGGACTTACTTGTTCCTGACTTGAACCATATGAATATGCCTCAAGAATATTGGTAGTGTTCCCAAACTGAAGGGTTACCACCTGTGAACTAAAAAAAAACAGATACACACACATAAAAACACATACAATATACAGCACACAATGTCTCAATGGCAAACAAAGGCACACAACACAGAGTACAAACACGGAGCAAACAGAAATGAGCACGTAGAGCACACAAACACAAGCACACGCACATGGACACAAACTAAGCTGTTGATATAAGAAAAAGAAGGAACATAGGAAGAAAACATAACCTGAACTCCAGGATGAGTCTCATGCAAAAACTCAAGAAACTTCTTCGCAACAGCTTTTAGAAACGTCCAATGAGCACTTAAAAACCGAGGATATTGTCCTACAACATACCTGCCACCAGAAGCAACAACATATTATTAAACAGACGTATAACATCATTTAACATCGAGCAAATCAATACAAAAACATCCCTTACATGATATTACGTGCAATAACAACTGTTATCATTTCCCGTTGTGATTTCCCAGAGATATAATACATCCTAAATGGCCATGACAAAAAGTATGTATTCCTGCGCCACATAAACATGATGTGAGTAATAATTATTTCAAAAAAAATCACAACCAAAAGATAAACAAAGATACATGTCGTGTTCTCAATTTTGTTTTTTTAATTTTCCAAAAACAAAGGAGTTGAGTTCTTCTGGCCAATATCTTCTCTAGCGTGTCTTTGATTAAAACAAAATACAATCACCTAGAAAATAAAATTTTAACTGGATTTTAGTTATATTCTTATATGTATTAGCTATGTATACTATCATTTATCACACATTGAAAACACAATTTTCAGCAATCATAAATCATAATCATAACATAAGAAATAGACAACCATAAGACATGAATGTCAACATCATCCAACCTTAAAATCCTCAGTATCATCTACTTATGGGATGCTGATAAGACAATCAAGACCCAAAAGCAAAGCAGATGTATTTTCTTTACTGGATTTCAGAATTCAAAAGTTAACCTGCATAAACAGAAAGGTATCACCACACCAATAAAGATGTTAACGGGCATGAACACTAATCAAGCAAATTGAAAAACTATGAGCAAGAAACAGAGGAAGAGGTGCTACACAGATGTGGAAAAAAAACTAATTGTCAGGACAATTTAGCATATAGCAATGTGGGTCCATTCTCAAACATGCCACACGCATGATATTGTACACATACACAAAGCATAAAAAATCCCAACTAGGTCACATTATTTCACCTGATCCCATGACATTTCATGAATATATACTTGCAAAATGAGGCAAAGAACAAAGCAAAATTCTGCATGATACCCTAAACAAGGGGGAAATTTTGTCAAAGATGCTTAACAAGTAACTTAGTAGTATGTCTGGATTCAATTTTGCCATAATATAGAAACTTACTTGTTCCTCACTTGAACCATATGAATATGCCTCAAGAATATTGGTAGTGTTCCCAAACTGAAGGGCTGCCACCTGTGAACACAAAAATGACAGATACACGCACATAAAAACACATACAAAGCACATCATGCACACACAAGGACTCAAAGGAAAACAAAGGCACACAACAAAGTACAGACACAGAGCACACATAAATGAGCACGCAGAGCACACAAACACAGGCACACGCACAGGGACATAAACTAAGTTGTTGATATAAGAAAAAGTAGGACAGAAAACATAGGAAGAAAACATATCCTGAACTCCAGGACGAGTCTCACACTATTTTACCTGATCCCATGACATTTCATGAATATATACT